GTTCTAGAATTAGAAATTTGTTAATGAACTTATAATTAATTATTATTATGTGATAGTCAAGACTTAGAACCTGCAATCAATAAATTTATTCTATTTCTTTAGGTATTATGAATATATTCATGAAAGTGTAACATTTAATCAAGTTTAATACATGAGTGAAATAAAAAATTCAAAATAAAAGAATAAATAAAATATTTATAAAGCATAATCAGTTCTTGCGATATCTCTTCTCTTATCTATGGTTGTGCATAATATTTTGAATATTTTGACTTTTGACGTAGTGTGTTCTTGCTTCAGTTTGTGCATTCTGTGCTTAACCAATATTATTTGACATGTCATATTCCTGTCAACGCCTAACCAAATTTCATGGTATTAAATATAAATAAAAAATGAAATTGTTTAAATTTATAACATTTTCCTAACTATAAATATCGTTTAAGAATAATGATGTGGGTGCAAATAATACTTGTAGCTAATTAAACGCAGCTAGTGAAATATTATGCTTGTCGTCAGTATACAAAGCGATTGTTTAAGTTTCTAATTTATCTTTTATAAAACAAGGTTTGTGCAAAATTATAATAATAAATAATATCACGTATTTAATGCTTTTATCAGAACTTTAGATAAATATTACACGCAGTAAATGTGACTCATTCTAGTTCACAATTTGTGCTCAGTCTAGTTTACAATTTGTGCAATAATAGTTGTATTTTTCTTATTGGGTAATATTATTTAAACTGTATTGTTTTTTCAGTTAAAATGCCATGTACAAACTGCTCAGTACAGTTTGGTGTTTTTAAAAGGAAGAAACAATGTCATGAATGCAGGTATTTTGGAAAATAATTTTTCACAATATGATAGTTTGTCTTATCTGTTCTTACTCATAAGAGCATTTGATATAACCATATTAAATGCTTAAAAAATAGCAAACGATTTTACATATAATAATATGAAATACATGGTTTAACCCGAGAAAAGTGATGCACTTTTGTAACTTTATTTCAGGTGTTACTTTTGCAATCTTTGTCTGAGAATTAAGAGAGATCGAGTGCTTTGTGGTAAATGTATTGTTTTAACATCGCGCCCATTAAGCAGATCCCAGTTGTTACAATTAAAAAGCAAAGACTTAATTATCTATCTGAAATCAATACATGTTTCCACTAGTGGATGTGTAGGTAAGATATATTTCTATAGAAAAACCAGTTAGAAGTAAGTTAAAAATGAGTCATTAATATATATGCATTATCATTTACAATCTATATATCAATTATACGGTTTCTGCTGATTTCAGAGAAAGAAGATTTAGTTAATTTATTGTTAGCTCATGTCAACAGTGAGCAGTATTATGATAACTCTAATTCCCATCAAAATCATCAATCTACAAGCGGCACTGGAAATAATGGATCAAATACTTCAAATCTTTTTAAGCAGTTCAATTTGCAAAATTTATGGGCAAGCGTTCAAGAAAAATATGATAATGTCAGATGTAGGCCTAGTGCAGGTAATCAATTGGATATATTCAATCAAGATAAATATTTTCTAAACCATCTGGATTGGAATATAAAGTTTTATTTTTCTATTATCTATATTTCTTACAGCTAACTAAATGTATGCGCATATTGCTTTTGATTAAATTTTTAACTGCTTTTTATTGTTTGCATTGTTATAATTGCTTTTTTTTATTAATGTGACTATTTTTTACACATTCTTAAAATCTGTAACCAGTACTTCTACCATTTTCAATAAAATGCTTATGAAATTATTGCTACCAATATTTTAACATGAAGGTTCAGAGACTGCTCAGGCTGTTCCTAGAAGAGTTTATACAAGGGTGCGACCACCTTATCATCAGCAAGCGCCTCGACCTACAACAGCTTCTAGTGCTATATTTGAAAGAACAAGAACGGAAAGTGAACCTTCAGAAAATAATAGAAGGAGAACTAATTTATTAGATACACAAGATTGTGTAGAAATAGAAGACATTGGTTTGTATTTATTTGCTTGCTTCATAATTGTAGTAATTTTGAACAATATTTACATAAGATTACCCTTTACAATCTACATTAAAATATTTTAGAATGTTTTGAAGTTACTTTTTAGAAGATATACATAAATATTATAACCAGGTTTATTTCATCCAGGTGATTGGGAATTTCTGAGTCGAACAGGTGAGCCTCTATCTAGCTCAGATCCACAAATCATTGTAGAAGTAACACCACCACCTGAAGGAACAAGTAATTTATCTTATCAAATAAGACGAACGACTTCTGAAATAGATGTTCATGTTAATATAAATCAATCTGATCATGTGAGCCAAGGGAATACCATTAGAAGACATTCCATACATAATGTTGATTTAATTCAAAACCAAGAACCTAATGCCCATGTACCAAGTTCTGGTGATTCTGGTAAGTTAAAAAATCATATTTCATTAGCTTAAAGAATTTATTATAGTCCTGATTATGAAAATTGATTTGAAATATTATTTTTAAAAAGCTGAAAAATTACTTAACTTTACAAAGAATACCATAAGTAAAATAATTTGAGTTATTTTAAATTTTATCTAATATCATATTATGAACATTTTTGAAATAATATTTAAAGTATCATTAAGCACATTACTACAATGTTTAACTTCAGTTATTTTAGCATTCAATAAAAATATAAATCCCAAATATTTTGTGCTAATAAACATATCATTAGAATTATGTTTGTTAAATATTTATATAAAACTTAAAAATCTTTTCTGTAAAAAAGTAAAAATGAAGTGTTTTAATAATTTTATAAACATTTTTTACAGAAACAAACTTAGGTGTTGAGGAAACACAGGAATCAATGAATATAAGTCAGGAAAGCATAAACAATCCTACTGATACTGATAATCCTCAACAAAACCAAAATAGAACAGAAACTTTTCGTGCCAATAATGATGATCATGCTCAGAATTATCCAGCACCTAAAAAAAGAATTAACTTAATAGACATCACAGATATTAATGATTTGGATGATCTAAGTGTTAAACAATTAAAAGAACTCTTAATTGCAAATAGAGTTGATTTTAAAGGGTGTTGTGAAAAAAATGAATTATTGGAACGAGTTAATAGACTTTGGAGAGAGTATTCACAAAATCGAGAGAGTGAGTACAATTTTCTACAAAATTGAATGGTTTATTTAATGGTGATTGAGGTGAAGAATGAGTGCTTGAACTAGATGATTTGTAATCATCTGAAATGTATGATAATATGTATTTTTGATAATACAAATTGCATGTATTTTTGTAAATAAATATACTAATACGGTGTGTATTGGGTGAATGATTAACTGATTTGTATGAATTTATTTATACATACTCAAATATAAAATTGAAATTTTTAATTGAAAGTAGATGTATAACACACTTTATTTATTATATCTTTTTTTAATTCAATTTTTATATAAATATATACTTGTAAATATATCTTGAAAGATGTATTTAATTTATTACAAGCATGTTATAAGATAAATCAATTTAAAAGGAAATATGAGCTACTAATTTCACATAAATTAAAGACTATCTTTGAAGAAGCATGAATTAACACTTATGATATAATTTGAAAATAAATATAAAAAAATATGAAAATGCATGATAATAACATTTTCTTTGTCAATTTCAAAAATAATGCTTTCACTGTCTTGTTTAAATTTAAATATTCATGATGGCAAAAGTTTATATCTAAGCATAATCAATTTTTTATTTTTCTTCCATTGAATTTCTCACAAACATACTTTCATTCAATTTTTTTTCAATTTTAATTCAATTATCTTTGCAGAACTAGATGACTTACCAACAGATGAGTTATGTAAAATTTGTATGGATGCTCCCGTAGAATGTGTAATGCTAGAATGTGGACATTTAGCAACATGCACAGCTTGTGGTAAAAGACTCAACGAATGTCCAATATGTAGACAATATGTCGTAAGGGTTGTGAGGACTTTTAAGGCTTGATTTTTAAGACAGGTTAGTCAATTTATTATTCTACTTGTTTACCATATATTTCATAATCATATCAAACCAAAACATATTTGGTTTGGAAATAAATATTACTTATATTTTGAGAGTAGAATTCGGTTATCTTATTATCTATTGTTCAAGTTTGAAATATTTTATTTAGATTTTTTACTTTCAAATATAGCTTTTCATTGAAATTTTACAAATATGTTATTTCTATTAATCAACTTGATTAATAGTATGGCATTAAATTATATTACACCAGTGACATAAAAACAAAAAACAAATTCTTCAATTTATAAAATTCCTCATATTTTTAATTTTATGCATCTTCATCTTTTTGCATGTTTGCACATAATTATTGTTAAACTTTTACATTATTAAACATTTATTTATAGGTTCTTTGAACACAAGCACACTGCTACATATTCAAACAAATTTCATTTAAAAATATGTTTAAGCAGTGCAGGAAAGCTGAAATTTTTTGTTATAGAATAAACAAAACTCATAACAAATAAATCTTGTGATATGTTTATATTTTGAACACGTTTTAGAGCAATTTATAAATCTATTGATAATATATATATATGTATATATATATATATATATATATATGAAAATATAAAAATATAAGTATAGTTATATGTTACGTGAACGTACTATGTCCATTTGTTCATGCTATTTTATATATAAATCTGTTTTTAAAACTAGTGGTACATGTATTGCACCATTTTATTCTAACTATGGAAGATTAATTTTATTTGTTTTACATTCTATTAAAATTAGATCTTGATTAAATATGAGATACATAATATGAGATTAAAAAAGTATTGTATTTAATTGTAAATATTATTGTAATAAATTTTAAAAATCATATATGTGCTTTAAAAATGTAGATTGAAATATATCAATATTTCTATGTATAATTTTATATATATATATATATATATATTATATTTGTAATATGTATATATATATATATATATATATATATATTACAGTAAATGCAGGAGAGTAAATTAGTTATACCTGTGTTGATAATCACAATGTTGTTCTCATACCAATTTTCATCAATGAATTCTACTAATCAATCCCTTCCAAACATGTGAGTTTTTTCAGGTCTATCCAGCCTCATGATTTTTTTAGCAACATTGAAATATCCCAGATACTCCACAGAATCAGGAGTAGTATCAATGTGATAATGACCACCCAGACCATGGTCGCTGAAGCTGTGAAAGTGCTGAACTCTTAAATCAAGATCTGTGACTGCAGTAACCAAGGTGCCAACTGCCACTAAAGGAGCCTCCATTTGAAAGAATCTTAACCATGCATTTAGTTGTTCTTCAGTATAAATAGGAGTTTCAGAAAAATCTGTCATAACATGCTGCCTGGCACGGCCTTGCTTTAAAAGAAAAGTTCCTCCAAGACCTAGAAAAGAAATATGAAACTGACACAGAACTAACTGAATTTGTATTAACAGATCAATTTCTGAGACAGCTGTGCTTAAACAATTAGGAATTTTTCAGTCATCTTACTAACCCACAACTTGGTCTCCATAATGTTCACTCAAAGCTGTCCTGATGCTTGCAATAAAATCTTTAGGTCCATGTCTAGTTGCACAATGGACACGCAATACAGATCCGGCATGTCCTTCAGACAGAAAGAGATTTCCTAATAATGCACAACGTGTTTCATCATTTGGTACCGTTCCAAGTACGCATGCACCATTTTCCATGTTAACAGTAGCTATGTGTGTTTTGTTGTTCAAGGTACCGTCAGATGCTAGGTGCATATTGAAAATACCCTATAAGGTATAAATTTACTTTACTATAGCTTCATGTAAATATACAAAATAATCCTATAAAATTCTTGATAAATTAAATGTCTATTTTGTAATGTTTTTTTGAAATGAAAATTTAAAATTATCTTTCATGTGGTTAGATTTATTAAGTTATCTGAAATCTGTATAAATTTATGTTTATTAGTTCCTAATCCTTAAGGATCTAATTTTACAAAACTGAATAAATAGACAGAGCATGGTTAAATTTTAAATATTAAAATTGTGAACTAAAATTATATAAAAATCATTTGTTACAACATATATTAAATAGCACAAGCTATTGTATAATATTATACAGTATATATAAATAATATTGTATAATATTATAAAATATAACAGTTTTTTTACTTTTTTAAAAGTGTTTTTGTAATTATTTTCGTTGTAATTACTTAAATATACAAATATTTATGATATATATATATATATAAGAAAAATGAAGATTTTTTATTTCATATATATTACATAAACTAGTGCGGCGCATGGCATCGTGCCTTTAGGCAAATT